GAAGGAAATGGCAACCCACTCCAGTATCCTTGCCAAGAAAACCCCATGGACAATGTTATAATATACCTCCTTTATAAAATGCAGATATTTAAAACTGTAAAAAGCAGCTTAAATTTGAAAATACAGGATAGAAGGCCAATAATACAGAATGTCAATAACAAAATAATTTGTAAGAACACAAATTTAACCAAAAGCCTGCTGAACTAAGGATTTTTAAGTATCCTAAGAAGTTTTGTGTATGCCAAAAGTTCTTAAGACTTGGCACCTGCAGGGAAAATGCAACAAATGAGTTGCTTTATTGAGATTTCTTTCTCTTGTGCCATCACATGATAAATGTGGCACTTTTAAAAGAATATCCCACTAGATCTTAATACCTGGGTAAGTATGTAAAAGAAAAGGCATTCTGTTAGACATCTGTAATATGACTTACAGGGTTTTATAATTGCAAATGCATTTATTTTAGCTTGGTAGCCCACAGATGATACAATTTAATATGAAATCATTTTGACAATGGGTATTTCCTGACTGTTTCTACTCTTATAGTACAGCTTCCTGCCCAAAACAGCCCTTGAAGGTTAAATGATCCTCTGAAACAGCGTATAACAAACCCAAGGGAAGCAGGAGGATGGAGAGATCACGAGGAAGCAAGCAAACAACCTATCTCAAAGAGCACCAAGGACTCCACAGTTCAACCCTGAGCTACATATATTCTTTTCTATTATAACAAGGACTTTTTGAGGTTCCCTTGTATAAGCAGAAGACCTCTCTGGATCCAAGCCAGCGTCTTTACTGCAATTTGTTTGTAATTAAGTCTTGGTTGTTGGAACTGCAGGGCTGAACAGTTGTCCTTGATGTTCAGCTGAGAATAATTGATACTTTCATGTGAAAGAAACAAGCAAAATAGCAGATTGCTAGAGATGTTGGTAAACTAGGATTAGGACTGGCTGGGAAATATATATATGCTTTAACTGATCTCAGAGGAATAAAGCATTACAACATTCTGAATCATGCATTTAATTTTGGAGTTTTACACACACTGTGTACACAGCTGTGTTTTAATTTCTAGGTGCAGATTATGGAGGAGAAACTAAAAGCTGCTAATGTCCAAACCAGTGAGTCAGAGACACGTTTATATAAGAGATGTCAAGAACTGGAGATCCTCGCTCAAGAGAAAGATGATGCTATACAGAACCTGGAACAACAGCTTGTAGAGCAGGTTGAGAAAATAATATTTTTCTTACTCAGTTATCCATATGTATATTGGCATGTAAAAGAGAGGAAGGAGGGGCCTACAAAAAAGTAATATCGCTAGATTTTTGCACAGCAAAACTCTTGTTGGAAAAAAAAAAACAGAGTCTATAAAGATACCTGTTAATATCATAGCAAATCTTGGTAAGAAGTATACATTTGTCACATACAGCATACAGCCATTTGTCTGAAAAGGTATGAAGATTCCTGACCTGGACAAGAGGTTGGACTAGAAAACTTTCCAACCCCATGATTCTACAATTAAGCAAGCTAGTTAAAACAATGAGATGAAGACAGCACTTTTCAAGAGGTCATTCAATGAAGATCAGCGCGTTAGTAGCAACAGTTTTTACTGCAGTTTTTATTAATCATTTTATTAGCAGTATTTCTGGTTTTTTTTACTTTGTATGATTTGTATGAATTTTATGGCTGTTTTATTGCATTTATTATAAGCTGCCTAGAGTAGCACAAAGAGGCAGCATACAAATAATCACTAATAAATAAATAAAGCTTAAGTGCAGTCCTTGGCCTGAAAAAGATTGCACCTTCTGTTTTAGGTGAATAAAGTGCATTGTTATGGACAAGAATGCAAATTACACAAAAGCCCATCTTCTTGTTTCAGAAGCAAATCAGAATACAAGAGGCTAAAATTATAGAAGAAAAAGCAGCTAAGATTAAGGAATGGGTGACTGTCAAGCTTCATGAGGTGAGTCTCATAAATACAGCTCTTAAAGCCAGTGGAACTATTCTAGTATAAGAATCGTATGGAAATAGTGTCAACCCCATAACGTTCAGCAGCCTCAGACAGCATGGCCAACATTTATACAGATTAGATTGTGTTTGAGCAGCAGAATTCTCAGCTTTGTCCTTTAGGTAGGCAGTAAATAAAATATCTAGGTAAGCTTTCTTTTTACAAACCAACAGTGAAGGTTTCTTCAGCCTAAAATTCACAGATCCTTTGCTAACAAAGTGATACCTTAAAGCTCAGAACAAGTGAAAGCCTTAATGAACTAATTATATTATTTCATTAATATCTATTAGTGGATAATTGTCATTTCTGTTATCTGGTCAATAATTTCTTTAAAAGTTTTTGTGGATTTGTTCACAAGACTGAGGCTGTAAGTTCCTGCACGAAAAAAATGCCTTGCTTTGTAATGTGCAAAGTTGCTTATACTGAGGGTTTATTATTTGTGTTTTCAATTTTATCAGGTGGATTTTTTCTTTTCATTGTGTTTAAAACCTGTAATATATTTTCCTGTTTTTCTGTGGAACAAAAGATATTCTGATCCTTGCTCTATTTTTTAAAAATTATAATAGTCATAACATGTAAAAACTAGTTAAAAATAGAAGAACTTTGAAATAGGACCTGAGGTTGAGTTCTGTGGTCTTTCATTAATATTATTCCTAGATGTAGCAAAGATATTTGAGTTCAGTGTAATGTTTAACACTGCAATCATTTGTAAATATACTTAAAAGTAAACCCAACAGAGGTTGGTGAACTTACTGCCAGGAAAATGGATGCGAGACTGGAAACAATACCATATGAGATTAAGGAAAGTATAGCTTTCCTTTGGATGCAATCTTTTTCAATATTGTACTTATGAATGGGGGCTTTTATCTATATGTTTTCAGCTAGAAACAGAGAATCAGAACCTCCGCATGATCAATCAAAACCAAACTGAAGAGATTAAGGTGTTGCAGACTAAATTGCAAGGTAGGGGGTACAAATTCTCAAAACACAACTGTGTTCCATAATTAAAGAACTTGGGACTAACTCTTTGTGTATGTCTTTATTGTGGATTGAAAAAACAGTTGTGCCCAGAAATTCCTAACTCTCTCCACAGTGTAGCCATCTGTAATTTTGTAAATTTTTTACTAAAGGGTACAGAACTTCTATAGAGGTCTAGAATGTGCTTTTATAGAGGTCTAGATGAAGGCATAATAAAAAACGAAAGGCTTTTTTATTTCCATTTGAGATATTTACAGTGATTGAATTTATTCCATTGAATTTTGTTTGCTTTTGGATTGATGTGTTATGTGATCCCAGACATTGTGGTTTCTAAACTACAGATTATGGTGCTACAATCAGTGAACCCAACCTTTATTTCTAAATTATCTCTTTTTCTAAAAATACCTACAGCAAAGTGCAACATTAAAATACACTATTAAACCAGTATTAAACTTAAGAAGACACATAGTAATTAAACAGAAATACCATAAATGTAAAGGTGTCTACAGGTGGTCCTGGACCTACGACCATTTGTTCAGCAATCGTTCAAAATTACAAAATGTGATTGCAATCTGGGTACTTGGCAACCAGTTTGCACTTATGACCAGTGGCAATACCCCATAATCAAGTGGTTGCCATTTGCACCCTTCCTTGCTGGCTTCCCCATTGATTTTCTGGGGAAAATCAATGGGGAAG